AAAAAAAAAAGTCTGATTAAACAACTGTTACTTTAGTTGTGTCCCAAAAGTAAAACTGAATTGCTCAGCAGCAGAAATTTTACTTTAATTTTTTTTACTTCAAGTAAACTCTCTTCTAGAAAACTGAAATGAAATTGAATCGTTTTGATTTCTGTCTTTCAAAGGTAGAGTCGGCAAATGGACGCGGAGACATTGACAGAGCTCAAGATGCATCACAAACAGCCAAGACGCTGAACATCGCCGGACTCATCTGTGGAATAATTATTATCATCATTTATGTCTCCATCAAACTTACTGAACAAAAGTGAAGGTTCTGGTATTTCCCAGAAGGCGCACTGCAATCCCAGCCATTTTATGCCCTCTGCTTTCGCTCTTCAACGTTCACCACTAGATATGGACTGACGTCTTTATGTGTGGCGTTTACGTTACCTGTAAAACGCAGAACAATTCTTTGCTTTCATGGTGCAAGCCAAAAGTTGTTGTCAAATGAGAAGCCTCAATTAAGTTTTGATTTTCATGTGCATAAACTTGATTTTTTTTTTTGGGATTTATTGCTTAATTTGCTTAGATTTTTTTTCAAGTAATGTCTTAAAGAAAGCTGAGAAGGAAAAAAAGAAATATTTAACCTCCCATAAATTTGGCGTCATAAAACACAACATGAACTTTTGAAAGTTTTATTGTTGATACTGTTATTGTTGGTCTCATTGCATTTACCGTTTATAATTTTATTTCAGAGATTTTTTTTTTCTGTTTGTACAACTCCTTCAGACTGCATTATAATAAATGCACAGTTTGTCAGAAACATGGTAAATTTTGCCTTTATTGTATTTATTTCTTAAATAGATTTGAGATTTTCCTATATATTTAACATTATCATGAAAACGTGAAACCCATGCACTATGTTCAACCAGGCTGTTCTTCAGCTTTTTCAGTGGCTTCAGAACTCTTCTCTCTCAGAAGTTCTTCAAGATGAGAGAATAAAGATGTTTCTCTGTGCTTCCTCTGAAGTTTCTCAATTTCCTGTTTGTATAGATCAAAATCAGACACAAAAAAACAGTCCCTCACTCACTCACTCACTCACTCACTCACTCACTCACTCACTCACTCATTCACTCACTCAGACAGATAGATTATATACTTACATCTTCAGAGAGCAATCCTCTGCTTGGTTTGTGAAGTCTCTGAAGCAGTGAGGCAGCATGAGAACCACACCAAGTCTCATTCATGTTCCTTGTTGAAGCATCTTGGTTCTGATACCAAACACACAAACTGGCATCCTGTTCAGATGAAGAGGCACCCAGTCTAGCCTGAAAGAGCTCACCCAGACATTCCTGGAGTACCTATGACATGGCATGAAGTAAATTCAATTAGTTTAATTAATTACAACAAACACTGTCATAGAGCAAAAGACATCCAACCTAGAATCGAACAATAGGTAACCTGAAATGTAAAGTTTGGCTTTAAAGCGAAATCAAAGCTCATTAAAGGCCTTTTTTATATCAAAAAGAAAAAAAACAATTTAATTCATGCACACTTAGTGTGTTTGCACCTTGAAAAAAAGTCTCTGGAAGGCAGAACTGGAGTCAGAGCTCATGTCTTTAATTTTGATATGGGACAGACAATGGAGTAGCAGGAGAGAGAAGCCTCCAACTGAGAGCAACCTCTGGCGACGGACAAAGAGAGTTTCTGCGGCTTCCTGTCAACATACATCAGAGATTTACACTCTAAACTAGATTTAATTG